GTGCCTAAAGTCTATACGTGCACCATATACAGCTTAACCTATCTGCTGCTAGATGTGAAACCCCACCACCAGTTGCATTATTAGCCAGCCCGCATACCATGAATTGTATGCACATTTGGCACCTGACCCGAGCATGCACATTATCGCAGGCTCCTCTCAGTCTGTATTCCCTAACATTACAGTTGAAGGAACACCACTCACAGTCCCAAAGCTGCTTCCATACACTAGGATCTCTCCTCCAGGACCTTCTTATCTCCGACCGGATCTGCACAGATAGAGGCTTTAAGAATGGTAAACTGTCGCATGCCGAAGCTTGCCACCAGCACTACATGCATTAAGTCCCAATGAACTTCCTCAGTAGAGGTTGTTGGAGAAGTACTCCTTCAATTTTAAAGGACCACTATAGTCACTCAGACTGCTTTGTCTCAATGAAGTGCTCTGGGTGCAGTGGGTGTGGAAACTCCAATGTTTACATTGCAAGGTTAAAACACACCTGTAGTGGTTGTCTTCCTGACAGCCACTAGAGGCACTACCTGCTCTAAAACCAAGTAAAACTTGGTCATGTGACCAAATGCAGCTGAAGTGCAACACTGAATTCAATGCTTTCGTCTGAGAAGCATTTTATTGGATGCATGCGCTGTGCTCATATTCTCCAAAGCTCCTTTGCGAAGAGAGCAACACGTGCCAGGTGATGTTGCAGAAGGCGGAGCAAGCACAGAGGAAGTTTTACTTCTTGAAAAAAGGTAAGTAAAACTTTTTTTTAACTATATTTATTGCAGTTGGGGGTGTCCTAAATAAGGAATATGGTAGAGTTGTGACAGCTCTAAAAGCATGTGTATTTTCACCAATGTGCAATAAAGCAGTGATTATACTTTTTTCAGACAGTATTATATTTGCTGATGTAAAAAAAAAAAGATACAAATATCTGCTCTGACCTATCCTCTCGTGTTACGGTAAAACCATAACTACTTGGCGTACCCGTAAATAATCTGGGTTACATTAGTATATTTCGACACTGGACCATTGTGGATGAGTGAAAGCACTACAATTGAACTCTTTGAAGCAACCATTGCAGTTGAAAACTGAAGCTTCTTGTGTTGTCATTTCTGAAGAGACAGGATGAAATGGATCTCTGACATACACCACTGTCTTTACGGTTTGTCCTTAAATATTGATTGCCAACAAGAGTCAACATATTTATTTTTTTAAATCACATTTCCATTACCTGGATCTCAGTGACTAGTCTATTGAATATGTAAGGAAGATTTTATTTTAGTCCAGAATGTTTACATTTGCAAACATAAACGTAACACAATATCTTCCTTTATCCAAAGCTCATAATGAAATGTCAACGTATTAGGCAATGAAATCGGTGAAGATCAAGCGGAGACTAGTAAATGTCATCAAAGTCACAAATAGTGCAAATGTCAGGGCTAAGTATGATATCACAGGCTCAAATCTGGAAGCATGCTATTCTGAAATAAACACTAATTCACATGATAATCATATTGTACAGAAGTACCTCTGGCTACATCGAAACCTTACTACTAATGGATTATACACAGCCATGAATTCTCTTAATGGAATTAGCCATTGCTTGGTGATAAAGGGTTTTTAGTACACCATGGCCTGACGGTCAGGACGCCAGAGGCAAATTCAATAGAGTCAGTTTTGAAAGATATCAGCCAAAGAGGTGTAGTTTATCTCAGCGAGTTCAAATGGTTTGTATTCCCAAAGCAATGGATAGGTTGGTAATCCCAAGTAATCTAGATTTTTAAATAAGACTTTTGAGAAGGAATATTACGTCACAGTTTATGAAGGTAAAGAAGTCTCAACAGTGAAGAGTGTGTGTGAGAGGCATTATTGGAGAATATACACTCTTACTTACCACATCTATAAATCAGGGAGACTTTTCAGTTTAATTTATTTCTATGTATTCATTCTTAAAAGAACTGCTCCGAAATAATCTATTCTTATAATAATTAATACAGGCAGCAGCAAAAATCATCTTGATTATTATTTTAATGATTTTTTTATTACACTGCACATTCAGTTCCCCTACCACTGCGACTACTTGTTTTTTTTTCTTCAAGTCTTTATTTGCTGGAGAAAGTTTGCAGATCATCACAAAGCCAAGCTTGCACTGCATTTACCAATGAAGGATCGATCTCCCAATCCCCACCTGCTTTTTCACCATAACATGGACCATGACCACTTCTAAATGCAGAAGTGATCGTGGTGGTTGGAGTAACTCTTTAATTCAACAGGGGGCACAGACATGATAGAAAACTGCTCACGTTCTCTCATCTAACATGAACAAAAATTGCCACAGAATGATAAAGCCTGATAAGTTGATATTTATTAAAAAATAGTGAAAACACTTTTACTCTATATCACTGCAAGCACAGGGATGTGAATTCTGTTTCTGTAGAGTAAGCATGTCAAACTTGCGGCCACAATGAATATATTAACGGCCCGCCTGCCCTGGGGCCACTTTGTGCTGTGGCTGCAGCAGGTGCCTTGTCATGGCCAATTGCGTGCTTTGGCGGCCGCAAGACTGTTGAGCATTAGTCCAATGCCGGCTGCCCGGCGCTAGAATGCAGAGAGTTGTTACTCCCCCTTCCCTCCTGCTAGCAGTGCCAGAGGAGCGTCTGGCCCGCTTGAGCAGAGAAGAGCTGGAACTGGAGGACTTACAGCTCATCTTAAAGGACCACTCTAGGCACCCAGACCACTTCAGCTTAATGAAGTGGTCTGGGTGTCTGGTCCAGCTAGGGTTAACCCATTTTTTTTTATAAACATAGCAGTTTCAGAGAAACTGTTATGTTTATAAATGGGTTAAGCCTTCCTCCAAAGCCTCTAGCGGCTGTCTCATTAACAGCCGCTTGCGTGCTTCTTACTGTGAAAATAACAGTGAGAGCACGCAAGCGTCCATAGGAAAGCATTGTAAATGCTTTCCTATGCGACCGGCTGAATGCGCGCGCAGCTCTTGCCGCGCGTGCGCATTCAGCCGACTGGGCGGAGAGGAGGAGGATCGGAAGAGGAGAGCTCCCCGCCCAGCGCTGGAAAAAGGTAAGTTTTTATCCCTTTCCCCCTTCCAGAGCCGGGCGGGAGGGGGACCCTGAGGGTGGGGGCACCCTCAGGGCACTATAGTGCCAGGAAAACGAGTATGTTTTCCTGGCACTATAGTAGTCCTTTAAGGTAGGGGAAGAGAGGCTTGGGGGACTTTCCTGTGTACTGTGTTGAATAGTACACAGTGTATAGTACACAAGGTGCAGTGTATTAAATTTGTAGGAGGGAGGGGGAGGCAGTGTATTAGTCGTGGAAGGGCAGTGTATTAGAGTGGGGGGACAGAGCAGTGTATAAGAACAGAGGGAGGGGGATGTGTATTATATTTGGGGGCAGTGTATTAGAATGGGTCTGCATGGAGATGCTGATTGGCAGTGCAGCGTTTTGACACACATGCATAATAGCCTCCCATAGGAAAGCATTGGATTGGCTGAGATCATCAAGTTTGATGATCTCTGCCAAAGTGCAGAACACACTCATAGGACTTCAAAATCAACAAGATAACGTCGTTTTTTTTTTTTTTTTATAGCTGTGCGACAGCATACATTCACCATTCAGTCCCATTACCAAACTTTTCTTAATATGTCAAGGTAGGTGGATTGAAACACTTTATTTGCAAATGCACGTCTCCTTAAAATAAATTTGCTCTTTTGTTTATTTTGAAGCCCTATGAGCATGAGGACATACAGTGTCAGTTAGGCAACTTTTTTTATACTGTACTTTTCTAAATAATGCGTTTTTATGAAAATTTAAGTTGTTTTTTGGGGTTTTTTTTTTTTGCGGCTTACATAAACTTAAACCTGGTTTATTTGGCCCGTGTTAGCCTTTGAGTTTGACATACTTGCTGTAGAGTGACGAATTATATTAGTCATTCACAACAGAAGAAAAATAGAACTTTAGATAACTGACGTCAGGCTGGGATGTGTAGGCACTTCTAAAGTACACATTCCCCTGTCGGTGTAAACCTTTATCCCAGGAAAGATACACACATACCAGGTATTTATTATCAGATCTGTTTAGTATGTTTACACCTACCTTTTATGCTGCAATAATAATTACATTCACTGTCAGAGAGAGTATGGATCTTGGATAAATTCAGATCAAGTAAATTTCTGTTTGCCTCTGATTATCTCTCTCTCACACACGCACCCACACTACTACAAAATAATATCTTTCTCACAAATTCTCCCGTTAAAAGCATTGAGTCGCAGAGATTAGCTAAGCAATCACAGCCATGTTTTGATCCTAGAAAAAGTCACTGGAGAAGGATCTAATTCCTTTGAAAACCTGCAAAAGGGGAACATCTGGAAGTAGCTTTTTATTAATTGTTTTACAAATGTTTTTGCTTGATTGATGTCTCTACAATAAAACAGATTTCCAGTTCCGTATGTAATATCCTACACAGTTTTATTCACTATAAAATAGATGAAATCAAAGTGAGTTTAGAATGTAAGGTCAAAAGAGCCAAGGTGTAATAATTCTCTAAGCTATGCTTTTAATTCAGCAACTCTGGCCTTAAATTGGAAATTCTCTTGGATTTCACTGTGAATTCTCAGTAACCCCCACAAACTTAAATAGACTTCATACACAGGAAGTGTACGAAGGCTGGATTTGACGAAATCCCTGTATGGTGTTTCATAGATCTTATAATGACCTTATCGTGATGCCACTTTGGATGGAGACAAAGTTACCCATTAAAACTCAGCCAAATGAAAAGGAAACCAAGTAAATAATTGGATACCACTAAGGTAAGAATCAGACTGAACGGGTTTGTTATAGAATAAGGGTTTGCAATTTGGCAAATTTTCAACAGTTAAAACGTCGGCTGTAAGTGCAAACACTTGAAATAACTAAATTTGAGACAAGATGAGCTGTAAGAGACAGCAAGCTTAGCAATACTGACAGCTACAGTCATGTTATACACAAGATCCAGCGCACTCACCTATCCACTAAACAGCAACTTCAATGTTGAAAGATTTTAAAATCTTTCAACATTGAAGTTGCTGTTTAGTGGATAGGTGAGTGCGCTGGATCTTGTGTACTGTATTATTTGGCCCCCAGCAGCACCCCCATTTATGCATGTTAAGGTGAGTGCAGCCAACCCCCTCTTGTTTTATATGTTATAAATACGAGCTCTCTTAAGTATGCGCGTACAATGTTCTGGAAATAAAGAAAAGGGTGGAACGCTCACCAATACGGGTTGAAAGAGCTGGGCCTTACCCATCAGGCCCAACACTCCTCATTTAATGAATGCAGCCCATTAATAAAGTCCCTACATTATACAGCAAGTGTTTTCCGCCAGGCAGAAGTAGACTGAGGACCTGTTGGCTTTATTGCATTTTACCTAGTCTTGCAGTAGAACACATTGTTGCTACAGCTTGTATGTTATTCCATTGTATATCGCGGCAGGGAAGTCACCCGTGTGCTTGGAGTGACCCTTGCAGCTTTGTGCATGATAGGTTTCATATTTTACAAACCCATTCCCTGTATACAGTACAGAATTACCCTTATAGCGAGGAAAGTGATCTGTATACACTACATTTGATCAAATATTCACATAATACTTGAAAAGCGCTTTTTATTTTAAAAAGATCCTTTGGCGATACTTTCTACGCACTCTGCAAAGCAGACGTAAAGTTTATAAGGGTTCTTTTTTAGGAATGCAGATTGTAAGCAAATCCTCACTTACCAAGTTTTCCACTTGTAAAATAACGTAAAAACTCAATGTATATACAATGACGAAAGAGACACAACATTTTAACTGTGAAATGTTTCTGTCGATGGTTTTAACAACCTTTTAGTGAGATACTGAAAAGGCCTTAAATTCCTTTCACATTGTAAATGCTTTTAATGGATAATTTTATACCCAGTGCAGACAGATAGGGAGCCGCGTGGGAGAGCATCACATCGTTATGTGACAAGGGATCTAAGGTTATTAAATACTATATAAAATGTTTGAATAAATGTTAGAGTGCTCGCTGTAAACAACGTATACATGAAACTGAGCGCGTCCCATGTACCCACACTATATGTGCTACATGCGCACAAGGAAATTGTGCACTAATGCTCTGTTAAACAAGTGACACATCTTAGCTCTGGTGCCCCTTAAAGAAGCGAATGTGGGAGTGTGCCAGGATAATTTATTCCTGGTCTCTGAGAAGTGAACATTTCACTCATTGGAAAATCAAAATTGCAGATACCAATTTATAAACAGTAGTTATTTAATATTAAAAGGGCCATCACACTTCAAGGACTATTGGCAGTTATTTAGCTTGAATAAATTATGAGACAAAATGTTCAATTTCTCCTCTGACCCATTTTTTTACAGCCATAAGCAGAAACCTCACTCCCTGATATCACAGAGATATACAAGATGTTGTATAGTCATGTATATGCACATTAGTAAATGTAACATACTTTCAGTATTCTATGAGAAAGCCCGTGGAGCAGGTGTAAACATGTGCAGTTATGAGTGACTTCATTCATGAAAGACCATGAATGAAGCTATTCAGATAACTAATTAAAACTGCAGTGAACTTTCTGTTATCTGTGACAAGGAGGATATGTTATTCCATAGAACTCCCACTGAAAGCAATGAGAACACCAGGATTGGAGGGTTGGTCATTTTCTATACCTGCATCGGATGCAGATTTGCATCTAATAAAAACACCAAGACAATTAAAGATGTCATAATAATGCCAGTATATTATCAGACGTGGCAGAGAGAAAGACGGTGATGCCTCAAGAGAAGCACAGGGACAGTTCTTTAAAGAAATATTCTAAGAACAGTTTTGGTGTATAAAAATCTGTGTTAGGACAGTTGCTATGTGCAATCTCCGATATCTATCACCTAATGTCACATTCCAAAGCATTACATAGTCCTCACTAGTTTTAAGACCACCAAATTATTTGGCAGACATAAGTTCTATACAAGTTGTGTGACAGAGCTATTTCCATTACGGTCTATCCTTGTCTTAGATACAACCCACATGTTGAACACTGCATTCAAAGACTTGGCAGAAACAAATTGCTGCCTGCCAGTTTTAACTGGTATATTGCCCAACCACCCAATTGTCATGGTAGGGAGGTGTGATGGTCGCAACTACAAGGCCCTCGAATCTTAATCTTCACAAACTTAATTCTCCTAACCCCAATTCTTGTAACCCTAAAATTCATTCTCCTAACCATAATTCTTTTAAAAATAACCTATTCTCTGAAATGCCCAGGCTGTGTGTTCCCAAACGAGGTATGACCTGCAGTGTATTTTAGATAGAGGAAGATACGCATGCTTATGTAAATAAGTCATTGGGCAATTAACCAAAATATTCCATAATGGGAAAGAGTTGAAACCCAAACGAGTTTTAAGCATGTGATAAAAATATCTGATATATTAGCAAAATGACACTTCTTAAATGTATATTGCCAGGAAAATGTTTGCTCAAAAAGAATGCATTTCACTGAATGTACCATGCAACTATGATATGACCTTATATAGTCATATTTCTTAAAATTCAACCAAGGTTGTGATATTCAGTCAAAAGACCATTCGACCATTAAAGGTAATACAGTATATCCTACAAAACTAAGATTACAAAGGAGACACAATGTGACACAAACAAAAGACTGTATGGGGAGTAAAAAGGTGAAATCGGTCAAAACTCTGGAATAGCTTAAAGCATAAAAAGAAAAAGAAATTAACTATCTATCATCCTTATTGGCAATAGTTATATATAAGCGCACTATTTGAAAAGCTGCAGGTTCAATTTCTGCCATAGCCAACTCCGTCCTTCTAAGATCAATAAACTGAGCACCATTAAGTTGAATAATAGGAAAAAAAAGTGAAATATACCTTATGTGCATTATTAATTCTGAATCATTATTGTATACCAGATTTATTTCTGTATTATAAAAGAGACATTATTTCTGCATATTGCTGGCTCAGTTAAGAAGCTCTATGTGAGCTGTGAAGCAGGTGTTTAGTGAGTATGTGCACTGGATCATGTATGTTGTATGAATTGGCCCCAGTAGCACCTTAAAATGTATGCATGTTCAGGTCAGTGCAGCCCACCTGCACTCACCTGTTTTCATATGTAAATATATTAGGAAGTCCAGGCCAAGTACCTTGGTTTTGCATCTCTCTCCGTCACGGGTGCGTCATTTCAGGGCCCTATTTAAAGGAAAACTATAGCCATCTCAAAGAAAGTCTGGGTGCAGTGTTCCTTGCAGTTTTTGAGAAATTGCAATGTTTCTGCTGCATGGTTAACTCCTTCTCTAGTGGTTGTCATACTGAGCTTATTCGGGACAGGCAGAGTAAAACTCGGACGCATGACACGTAAGGTATATGTTTTTTGTTTTTTGGGGGTTTTTTGCTCCGAGGGGACCCCTGACACATACCAGGGAGAGGGACACTACAGTGATATATTCCTGTATTCCTAACACTATAGTGTACCTTTAACCTGGCACTGCAGAGAGCCCCAGGAGGATGGATTTCCCAAGTAGGTGGGGTAATCTCGTAATAGCAGGCACTAGGTTGCTAGGATAGGACATGTCAAGAATGGGGTACATTGGCGTTGTGACAGGCTTATGCAGTGTCTGATCATATACTGTAACTAAATCCCCAATATTCTATATACTTAATAGGGTTAAGTGGTTTTAAAAAAAAAAAAATATACACTTTTTTTTACCTTTTAAGTTGGTGTATATAGAACAAAACAATTATCGGCACTCTGCCTCACTTTAAAATGCATTGGTGCTTCCAACACTATATTTAGCAATGCTTATTAAAAACAGGAGCACTCTCAACAACGAGCCTTCCCTTTATTCAGCAAATTTTTAACATGACTATGACATTAGTGACTGACGTTTTGGCCACTCCATGGGCCTTTCTCAAGATCAAACATAAAAATCATAACATGGTGTATTTATACTACAAATATCAATTACACTTACCTATCCATGTGGACTTCTAAATGTGTGCTGCACCCTCTCAGTATTGGATGCACCTTGAGGATGTGAAATCCCATGTTTCCCATCACCATAGTAACCCGTAATTATACATATACAATATATCTATATCTATCTATCTATATATATATCTCTATCTATCTATCTATCTATATATATATATATGTAAAAAAACAGATAAAAATATATATATCGCTATCTATCTATCTATATAGATATATATATATATATATATATATATATATATATATATATATCCATCCAAATAGGTAGCTGCACTCATAGTAGATAAAAAGCCAAAATTTTATTGTAAATAGGTTAAAAAAAAAAAACAGCGATCAACGTTTCAGTCCAATAAGGACTTTCCTATAGATCAAAAAATAAAATAAAAAATTAAAATGAAATTTTTTTTTTAAATTTTTTTTTTTGATCCTGAGGAAAGTCCTTATTGGACTGAAACGCTGATCGCTGGTTTTTTAACCTATTTACAATAAAATTTTGGCTTTTTAGCTACCGTGAGTACAGCTACCTAATTGGATAGATGGCTATTTATTGCTAGCACCCAAGGGTAATTTAAGCGTGAGTGCAGGAGCATTTGGTATTTTTTTAATATATTTATATATATATATATATATATATATATATATATAAAAACAACTCATCAAATAAATAGGTAAACTGTATATCATATGCACCAACACTTGAAAATACAGGCCTGAAAGCAGTCAGTAGAGGGCAGCAGTGAGTGACTTTCTGATTTAATCAATTTTATAGAACATACAAAAACATAAAACTAAAATGTAAATGTATATTATATTATTATATTATAATGAACACTACAGCATACACGATTAAGGCTTGACACTGAAATGTTGGACATAATTTTGTTCACCTGATTATCAATAAAAACATCCAAGCATTGTATTCATTATTATCCCATTAACTTCTAGGCCCCCTGCATGGACTGACTGTTCAGGACCTGGGTGGGGAGCTGAGCTCTGGAGTAGCCTTCAGCTGGAAATTAAGGCTCTATGACCTGATGACTAAGAAGCAAAAATCTGA